ATTTATCCCATACATAACTGGTATTGGTACCCATATTATATTTACAATGTTATTTAAATTGCTGAAAATCAAAGAATAAAAATAAATAAAAAGAGAAAAAGATATACATGTATAGGGTGTATTTTTTAACTCAAATTCTCACAAATATAACGTTATATATAAGTTATTTTATAATATTATTATTATTAAACTATTTAAGTACGTAACGAAAACACAAACACATTTAGCATAATATTAGTTACTTTACTACAAGTATATATATACAAAGAAATATGTTCCATAGAGAGTAAACATTCCAATATAAGAATAAAAATAATAATAAAAAAATATAAGTTATATATTTTATTTACCATATGATGTGGTGTAAATGGTTCTTCAATAAAAACAATATAAAATAAGAATAAGAAACAAAAAACTCACCTTTCTAGACATTTATAAGATGTAAAATGAAAACAAGTTTTTCTCATTATTTTATTATCCAATTCCAACTATATTAATATGTACAACAAGCTCTACATATTTATACTGTATATTATTTTAGTTACTTTAAAAGTGGTTATACCTTTATATGGATAAAATTCTTATAACAAGAATTATAATATTATTGTATTATTTTTAAATATTATAAATGTTATAAAATTTAAGTTATATACACTAAAAAGTTGATATTTAAGAGAAAAATTATTTAAAATTTTTTTTTTAAAAATATCATATAATATGCGGACGGAATATTTTGTACATTATGTATAAAGAAAAAAAATATATAATTTCATTTAAGAGAAAATGTTATGAACTTTCGATAATAAAAATTTATTAAAATTTTTTTCAGATATTATAAATAATAATACATATTTGTATCGAGTGATACGTAATGGAATAATTTTATTTTCAATTGTAATTCATGAATTTTACTGAGATTGAAAATACGAACCAGTGGTATTTTCTAATCAATCCAAAAACTTGTTAAACAATTTTTTTGAAATTCAAATTTGCTATCTAAAAGCTAAAAGAATTCAATATCAATATGTTTTGCAACTCAGCATCATATACACCACAGTATGGCTAGAAAATGAATATTTTTGTATAATTTATATCAGTAAAAATAAGATAATTATTTTGTTTCCATTTTTATTTCAAGAAAATTCAACAATATCTTAAAAAATGTATGTAAGCACATACCTAATTCTCGTAACTATTTCAAAGGATAATATTGTAAATTGCTTGCTTAAGATGCTTACTGCATCTGGTTTTCAATCTAAATTTATAATAAGAAAAATTAATTTTTTAGAAATTAAAGTTAATTTTTCTCAGTGTAACCATACAGAAAAAATGCATATTATTTTTATTGTTACCATTTATTAATACCTACATATATAATATACTGTATTTACTCTCTTTATATTACTACTATTACAGTCTCCTTTTCTAAAGAAAATAATTTTAAGAGTTTCTAAGTCTATGTTCAAATACATTTAAAAGTAAAATATTTATATACGCATTATTGGCAACTAAATCAACAAGCGCATATTCACCAAAAATTACATATTATTTCTCCTCTCTAAGGGAGAATATCATAATATGAAGGATAACAAAAAATTATTGTAGAAATTTAATACTAAAAGGAAAAATATTAAGAAAGAAAAACCATCCAACAAAAAAGAAAGAAATTTAAAAAGGAAGAAAAAGAATAACAATAAAAAAAAATTCTCATCATCTGTTATTCTTTGTTCTTTTTATTTTTTTATTCTACATTTTTCTTTATAAACCATCTATGGTTCATTGATAATGCGAACAGGTGCTTACCTTAAATTGAAGAGCGAACCATATCTCATACCATACATAAAAGAAAACAACTAAATAAAATTATTTATGTAGTTTTTTTTTATTATTATCTTTCTTTTTAGCATTGTAAGGATTTTTGTTATACTATATATATATATATATATATATGTAGGTAAAAAGGATCCTTTGAAATAAAATTAGAAGAAATGAGAATAACAAAGAAAAAGAGGAACGTTAGGAATTTTTAATGGTTCCATTCATTCACAATGAAGCAACAACAAAATTAGATTTTTAAAACAGCATATCCTTATATACCTGGATAGTTAGGATTTTTTTGTTCCTCTTTTTTTTTTATATACAAAATACGAAATAATTCACGTTTTCTTTTTATCTGTGTGTATAGTGTGAATTAATATTAATGGTGATGTATTCTTTTAACCATCATAAGTCAGTATGTTACTAAAGTTCGTCCTTTATATTTTGTTTTTTTTTCTTTATAAGTGTTTTTTACTTTACTTTGTTATTTTATAGGTTTTTTTTTAACTTAAATATATAAATAAAATATAATGAACATCTACATACACAAATATAATATATAATAATAAAATTAAATTGTTGTAGATAACAAGAGCGACTTAAGGGCAAAAAAATTAAATTAATATCAAGAAGATGATGATCCTTTTCTCATGAACACGATTTTGGGTCAATATCAGACAATTTTTCTTATGCTTAATAAATTGCTATTCTGTTGTTGTTGTTGTTACTCCTTTTTTCTTTCCCTTGTTGTTGTTGTTTTGTTGTATAAAGATAGTGTTTAACTCAGGTATGACGTAAAGTGAAAATAATAAGAATATTATTTCGTAATATATTATTTTATATAGTATATACGGGGGCATATAATTATGCTCACAATTACACAATATTTTTTTTTTCTTAATTTATAGGATCTATAAATAAAATAGAAAACAATTCAATTATAAATGATTTTTTTTTTAATAAAAAATTGTACCAAAAAAAAATCGTAAGGGAGTAGGTTCGTGCACATATACATATTTATTTTCGTAGTATAAAAATAATCAAATATAATTTTTTCGGATTATAATAACGATGATATCACGTACACAATATTTCCGCTTAAATTAATATTTATAGAGTTTATTAATAGAAAATAACACAAAATATTAATTTCATTTTTAAAATTATGAAATTAGACTTATTACATACACTTATACTACTTTCAAGTCTGTGCTTCGTAGAATGCTGTTCTTCTTTATCCTTTACAATGTTTTTATACAGAATGTTTGTAGACCCTTCACTTTGTAAGTTCTATAAGTTGAGTTGGGAACAGTGTCTCCATAAAAAAATTTTACTTACTCATGAGGATCTATGAAATAGCATTTAACAGTATAAACCTCGTTCCAAGAATGTTTTATAAATATACATGGGAAACAGTTCAAACACTATTATTGGCCTTTAAATTAACTTTCTTACTTATGTATACATTTTTTTTGTAATTAATTGTTTGTCGAATTGTATATTTTATACGTAGTCCAAATAAATTGGTGTTCTGATTTCAAATTTTTTATTTATTTAGTAAGGACGTCTTTTTGCAAAAAAATTATTAAGAAATATTTAATATCCCAATTTACGGATGTGTCACTGTACGTACGAGTATGTAGAATAATTAAAATTCATTCATAAGAAAAAATTTCTTTTGTAATTCTTTGTCATATTTATTTTAAAATGAATGATTTTTGAAGAACCTGTAGTGAAAATTGAATTCTGAAGAATTTAAAAATGTAATGAAAAAAAAAACATATAAACTCGTTGTCTCATTTTGCTATAAAGTTTATTTATAATCAATATTTTTTTAATTAACAGCAGATAAAAGTTTAAAAAAGAAACAAATTTGAGTATGTTTACATAATATGGTTTCGTTATTTTTTGTTTTTTTTTTTAATACCTATAAATACACATGCAACATACACGATATTTATAACAAATTTTTAACATTTTTTATTATTTTATACACACATATTAAATTCAGTTTTAAACATCAATTTAATATTTAGAATTTTAATAATATTCATTTTTATTTTTATCTTCATAAAAAAATTAAATTTTGGCAATTTTATTATAAAACTTTTTTTTAGCTTATAGCCGGAATGTGTTGCATTTTTATAAATCACAATGTACACTTAAATTTTTGTGCCTTAATATAAATTTTATTACATTTAGTGTATATATATATATATGGTATGTTTTTAGTCTTATAAAAAAAAAGCAGTTACTATAAACTATACATTCTAATCAATATATTGTCTTCTTCTAGTGTTACAAAGTGTGCAGCAATCAAAATTTGTTTTTTATTTAATTTTATTTTATAAAATTATCAAAATATGATCAGTTCAATTCCATCTTTTAACAATACATACAGTAAAATAAAATTTAATACAAAAATTGCACTAATAATTTTTCGCTAAGTAAATTACACATTTATATCAAAAATATATACAGTAGCAAATTTTTTTTAGTTATAAACTTACAATAGTTTTAATAGTATAATTAATTTTTTTTTTTTGTTTTTACAATTCTACTTTTCAATTGTAGTAATATAATCCCAAATTTACAATACACATACATACATATTTGTCTATGCAAAGAAAATATTCTATACTTATTATAGCTATTTAAATTGTTTTTGATTTCGAGTCTATTTTTGTGTTTAATGACGCTTGTCGTTAATTTTAATTATTTATAGGAAGAAAATTCCAAATTTACATTTAATATAATTGAAATAATTCATTATTAAACAAATATGATATTTTATCAAATTACATCGACTAATTATTGCAAAATTTAGATATGTTAGTATATGAAATGCATTACAAAACTACATAAAATCTCGGTTAACTTGGTTTAACCTGTTTGAATTTGATGCAGTATATGTACTAATTTATAATCTCTAAAGCAAATTTTAAAATAAAAATATTTTACTTTTTTAAATAATATGACTGATATTACATAAATATTTGTTTATATAAAATTTTTTACTTAATTTTATATTGATTGTGTTGTAAAACCTAAACAAACAAAAGCCACATAATCAAAGATTTAATTGCTAATCTTAAAAATGCCATTAACAAGTTTCATATTTTTCAAACATTATTTCTTTTTAGTTGTGATATAGTTTTTTAGGTTACTTTAGCAGGCTTGTGTTTAGGAAGTACACACTAAATCTTTTAACTATTGAATATTTTTATATTGGACAATTAGTGGAATGCCTAATCTAATTTTTTTAACTTTCGGGTAACATGTTTTTTAAAAAAACTAAATTTGATACACTCTTGAAAATATTATTTAAAAAAAGAAAATTTGTGAGACAATTATTTCCCATGTTATACAATTATAATAGATTTCAATCTTAATAGATGAAGCACCAAATTTATAGATAGGTACACTTAATTTTGTAACATGAAAAAGATATACTACTAAGCCTATACCATTTGTAAAACAGATTTTTTACTCTTTTAGTTTGGTATAAAGTACCAATTATTTTTGAATAATACCAAAATTTAATCTAAGTTGCTCTAAAAAGATGAATGTTATTATTGTATGTGGTCCTAAACGTAAGAATGCTGGAATAAATCCTTTAAAGAAGGCTAATGGACCTTCTTTAGCAGTATGTCTAACAATATCCATTAAACCATTATATTGTCCAGGTTTAGCATTCATTGCTCTTGTTTTAAGTACATCAATCGGTTGAGTAAGACCGGTTGCCATTGAGCCAGCACAAAATGAAGCAGTAAAATGTGTTGTTAAATTATCATCAAAGTAAACTGTACTTAATAACAATTCTTTGGTCTAAAAATTTTTGTATGTATATAAAAACGTATCATTGATTCAAAGTTTCTTAAAAAAAAAAATGTACCTGATCATAAAAAGCAATTTGTCCAACTGTCATAAGAACACCTCTTATTGTGGCAGTAGTTGCACCAGAAAATAATCTTTTGAAGCCTTCTTCCCTGTGCACTCTTATTAAACCATCTAATGCATGTTTATAACTATTTTTTTATAAAAAAAATTATCAAGATTCATTCAAAAATTTTAAGTTAAAAAACCGTTTACTTTCTTCTTTGTTCTTTTGGTAATTTAACATCATTTTGCATTCTAACATTAACCATATCAGCAGGAGTACCTACAAATCCGCCAGCTAATCCAGATATACCAGCTAATAATAATTTTCCACCAAATGTGTCTGTTGGGATAAATTCTTTTCCAACTTCATACATTCCAAATCTAGTTAAAGAGTATGTCATTTGTCTTAGAATTGAAGCTGATATTCCGCTGTATAAAGAAAACACACCTAAAATAAGAGCGCACTAAATTTCAGAAATTTTATTAAAATTTTCAATTTTTCTCAAAACTACCTTGTTCTCTTACAACTCTGCCGGTAAATTTAATTATAGACATTTTTTCCTTCTGCGTTTGTAAATTGGCTTTGATCAAATCTAAGGGATGGGTAATCATTACCGCTCCTGTGCAATCATCGATAAGAATTAGTTGAGTAAATTTGTTTTTAATTTGCCACATATATATACATACCAGATCCCGCAAGACCACCAAAATACCATCTTCCAATTCTTTTTGGTTCAGTAGAAACTTGTACCACTGCCATATTTTTATTTGCTTTATTGGAGGTGTGAAACTGAAATTATATAAAGAAATTCGAATTTAGTAATTTTCAATATTACAATAACTTAAGGTACAGGATTAAGGAAGCACGTAAAAAGTACTTTTCGAGAAACAAGTTGTAATTATTGCCTTTTCTTATATGAAAAGATTTATTTTATAATTTTCTTCTAAAATTAATTTAAAACTTTTCCAAAAATTAAAGTGAGTTGCATGCACAACTTAGTATTGTGTCTGTAAAAGTGAATATTGTTGATTACAAGTAGGTTGTACTTCAGCATTAAGTTAACCCAAATAAAATAAATTAATCTAAAAGTTTTCATTCGTTTTGGATTTTTAATATCGATTTATTCCAAGTTCTCATTTTTAATATAAATTAATTATTAGTGTAAAGTGTGTGATTATTTATTATATTAATAATGTTATTCTCATTTTCAGTATATACCCAACTCATATAACTGAATAACGGGAATTTTTAAAAATTTAACCGCAATTTGTAAAAATTTCAAATTCATTTTTAATTTTTTGTTTAAGTTTTGTTTTTTGTTGAAAAATAAAATTATATGGAAAAAGAATTTGTGAGATTAAAAATTTTATTTGATTTTTACGTAAATATTTTAATTGAATTTTTTTATTTTACCATTATTTTAATTTACTGAAATTGATTTTGATATTGTAGGGCACCTAGCCAACGATTTTCAACTAATTGTTTTTGTTTTGGTTTTGAAATTTGTATAAACAAAAACTACATCCTACAAGTGGGCAAAAAATTTCAAAATATTATGTAATAGTATTTTCCCATTGTTTTGTTTACATTTGTGTTTGACGCTAATAGTCTTTAAAAATTCTACACGATTTCCATTGCATCTTCTTGTTGCCAATATGGTTTTGAACACAAAATTTTAAATAATAATTTTTCGTGACCACTTTTCATAAAATTCTCTAAAGTAATAATTAAATTTTAAGAAACAAAAAATTTATTTTGATTCTCAAAGTAGTAAAAAAGTAATAAAAATTCGATTCGACGTTTGTAGAATATCAATTTACAATAAACAACTAGTAACAATTCTCCTTACTTTTATTTATTTTCTTTTAAATGACATGAGCGTCACTGCATTTTAGTGAGAAATATTTAAACTACTTATATCGAGTAAGTGCTACCAGCGTACTTACTTTTTTGGTAAAACGGAAATTTTTTCTCCCAACAAATTTTATATTTTCATTTTTTATGGTTAATGTAATATTTTTTACATAACTGCTACTTTGGACATAAATTGACTTAAAGAAAGACTTAAATTTAATTTTTAACGATATATATTCAGTTATATATTAAGAGAAATCAGAATCAGGAATATTTTTTGCTAAACGTATAAACAAATGCAGTAAACAAATAAATTCGTATATAACGTATTTGTACTGGTACAGCTAACTATCCAATGTTATGAAAAACAAAGATATTCTGACCCTTTTATATATGGTTAAAGTTTTTGTAACCGGAAAACATAAAATTCTGAGTATCCACTATACAGAATTCTAAAAATAGAAGAATAATATTAAAAACAACTTCCAAGAGAAGCACTAAGAATCACTATATTAAGATGAAATTCAAATTTTATCTAAAAAGGTTAAGATTTTGATTTAATACCAGATTACAAGTTTAACAAACAAAATTATTAAAAAAATATTCAAGCAGTAGTTTATTTACTTTTTTAAACAAAATTCGATATTTGAAATAGTAATTAATGAAAAAAGGTTTGATTTTCGAACAATTCCATAAAATTTTTTCTAGTTTTATTTATTTCATATCTTAATTAAATTACAGATAATTGAAAACTTTTTTTAATTCACTAGAAGGCAGGACATTAACGTCATATGCTTTAGTTCTATTTACATTTTTGTTTTATCAAAAACCAAATGTCTTTAATCTACATAATTATATTTTAGTTCGCAATCGTAGATACATACATTTTGTATTTTTTAACATTTTATTTTTGCTCCTATAGTTGGAATATTCGCCGCAAGAACTTATGAACGCTGCAATCGTTATGTTTATAAAAGATATGTCACATTGGTGTACCACTTCATAAGCATTTGACAATTCAAAGATGACGGATTGAAAAAGCAAGCATTTGTTTTTGTGTTTCAAAACGAGAAAAGAATTTATACATATTAATTGCTAATTTTTAAATATAATAAATTGAGAATTCAACTATAAATCTGATATTAATAATTCATACATAGGTAAGTCGCAAATAAATTTAGATTATTTATTAAATATTTAGTAAAATACCACAAATTTTTGTAAGAAATATTTGGACAATGTGATTTAACAACAAACAAATCTCTTGAGTTGGAATAGTATAACTATTATGTTGTGCATAGATATATATATATATACATTTATGCATACACATTTTTTAACCGGGTTTGTGTTTTGAACTTTTTTTTGTAAAATTGAAGTTGTTATTAGCCAAGAAATTACTACATAATAGAGAAATTGGTTTAATAAAAAAAAAATAAATGAGATTAGATTTTTTAATGTGTACATTTATTATAATTTGATGTAAGTTGCTAATTTTTTATATTTAAAATTTTGTATACTATGAAATTAAGTGGGAATTGATGAAATGTTTTTGCAGATTTTGCTGAAAACCAGAATAATGGCTAACGTACATTGTCAACTATGGATGGGAAGCCTTGAAACTTATATGACTGAGAACTTCATTATAGCAGCATTTCGGAAAATGGGTGAGGAACCACAAAATGTTCGCTTGATGAGAAATAAATACACTGGAGAACCATCTGGATACTGTTTTGTAAACTTTTCTTCGGATGATAAAGCAATTGATGCTATGCATAAATTGAATGGGAAACCAATACCTGGTACAAATCCAATCGTAAGATTTAGATTAAACAGTGCTAGCAACTCTTACAAATTACCAGGAAACGAAAGAGAATTCAGTGTATGGGTTGGGGACTTAAGTTCTGACGTAGATGATTATTCTCTATATAAAGTTTTTTCTTCGAAATATTCTTCAATAAAAACAGCCAAAGTGATTCTAGATAGTTCAGGATTTTCTAAGGGATATGGATTTGTTAGGTTTGGTATTGAAGATGAACAACAAGCTGCATTATATGATATGAACGGTTACATCGGTTTAGGCTCAAAGCCTTTAAAAATATGTAACGCGGTACCAAAACCAAAAACTTTAACTGGAACAGATACAACTACTACAGTAACTCCAAGTTATATGAGTGGATACAGTGGAAATTCTGCAGCGACTACTACCACTACCCAATCAGCAGATTATTCTCAATATTATGATCCATCTGTCTATTGGCAAGGATATAGCGCATGGCAAGGCTATTATGATCAACAAAATGGAGCCACAGATCCAACTGCATATTATCAACAGCAACAGGCAGCAGCTATGCAACAACATACTCAACAAACTGTGGCACAACAAGCTGAAGCATGGAGTGCCCAACATAATCAAAATTATGTAGATCATCATAATCAACCAGACGAGGATATGCAATTAATAGACCATAAAGTAATTATTAACGTTGACAAAATGAATAGGGAAATGGCTGAGCGAGATAGAAACTTATGGGATGCACTAGAAAGCTCAAAGTGGTTACCAATAGAACAACTTGAAGTTTTTTAAATTAACATTAAAATATTTTATAATGTATGATCGATTCACAGTATCAATAAATTGGATTTCATGAAAAAAAATGGAAATATCTTTTTTTGATATTTGATCTTACTTAAGATAATCATTAGATACTGGATATTTTTTAGGAAAACTCATTTTATTTACGACGTTAGTTTATATGAACACTTAATAATTGCACTTAATTAAAAGTTTTCGACATTCGTAAATTTAAAGAACTTTAGTGCTAAAATTTTTGTTTTTAAACAAACGTCCAAATGAAAATTAAAATTGAAAAATAGAAAAAACATACTGTAGTTAAGTAAGCTAACTTACTAAATAAAAAGAAACTATTTTCTTTTTATATTTCCGCCTGATAAAAAGCTTTTTTCCACAAAAGTAAGTAATTACTAATTATGCTATAAACTCAAAAGAGTGAATTATAGAAGAATTTTCAACACTTAATGAAAATATTAGATGAAAGACCGGCTTATTTGTCCTACCTAATTTTGAGTAAAATAAGCGGCATTGACTATTATGTTAGTAATTTTTCGTGTCAAAGTTAAAGTACAAAAATATTTGTCAAAAGTGTAAATTAATTTATTTGATTTATATGGTTAGATTATTATTACAATCTACAAGTTAACGTTGCAATATCTATCCCAACATGATTGTTTTTTTGTTTGATTCTAACATGATTCTTTTGTGCCCTTTCTAATATTTCTAACTTGTGCTTAAATTGTTTGAATCAGTCACATATTTTGTTTATCTTTTATTTTCAATATTTGTATCTAACTTACATTTTTTATGTATGTATGTATATAATTATTTAGTAGTACATCAAACGCCTTCAGATGTGAATGTTGTATAATACTCTTTAGCATAAATTATAATTATTTGTTTACTAAATTAATTATCAAATTTTAAAAATATTTTTGTTTGGTTTAAATAAAATAAATTTTGTTGCTAATTTTGCTATTCATTAAATTGAAATTAAAAAAAAAAATAATAATTTTAACGCATAAGTATCAGATGTATGGGAAAAAAACTTCAACAAAATTAAATTAAATTGATTTTTTAAACATAAACCTGTAAATTATAATGTAAATTCATTTAGATAAGTTATCACAATTTATATTAATTATCAAACATTTTAAGCTATCAAGTAATTTAAGATTTTTAAATAAAATTTTGGTATAGGTAACTGTTCACATGTGCATTTATGTTTTGATTTTAGAAGCTTATTGTATATTTATTTTAATATACTTTAATAGGTTCCCGTACAGAATTACTATAATTATAATAATTATTTAGTAATGTAGAAATTTTGAATATAACATTGATATTACAATAAATTAGAATTAAATTATTGCTTAATTCGTATTTAATAAGCGTGAATACTATTACAGTATCACACTTTATATGTCGGTATGTAGGTGTACAAAGGGGTAGAGAGAGGTATTCAAAGGTTAAACTTTAATTTTTTTATTCTTTATTAAATAATCTCTTAATTTCGTTTAGTGACGAAAATTATATCAAAAATAGCTGATGTTTTGTTCAAATTAAAAATAAAAAAAATTATTTAATAATATTACCTAGCGGGTATAACTCATTTATTACACAAAAATATTAATAAAACGTAATAAAACTAGGTTAATTATTTAATTAAAACATTTTTTTAAAGAAGAAGTAAAAAATTAAAATTAGGATAATTTACAAATAGTTTGAAGTATCTGTTGTTTATTTTTTTTCTATACGGCAAATATCTTAATATTTTACATAAATTTTATAAACGATGAGCACGTAATTGAAATAATTTTGCCATGTAAAAGCGTAAAAAATATTTGTAATTAAATATGTATATGATTTTTTCAAAATAATTTCTAAAATACATATTTAATTTGCTTAATAATGATCGGTCTCATATTATTAATGCTCTTGACTCCTGAGTGGTTGATTCCTTCACCCTAATTAGTATAAATATGCCGGCTTATTAGTATAAATTTCCGATGTCAATCTTGGATCAAAAGTAAACCTTGTTTAGTTTTTGACTATTAGTTCCTTGAGTGAACCAATATGTTATAATGTTGCGGCGCCATATTTTATTCAAAAGCCAATATTATTTTTCTTCTTTTTCAACCTCAGTTGAAAATTTGAACTTTGATCGAAACATTAAATATAAGTCAAAGTGTGAATCGATAACTATTTGTACATAATTTTAAACGATTTAATATATAAAATTTTAATTTTAAGTACAAACATACTATTTTTTTCATTTAGATAATTTAATTTATAAATAAAATTTAATCTTTATTAAATTTGTATTTAATACTAACAAGAAAAAAAATGATATAGAAAACTTTTAGATTAATAAAATCTATACTTAAAATATTAAGACTTGTTTATTAAATAAAATTTTAAATAAAATAAATGTGCTTGATTTTGTTTTTTGGCAATAAATTAAGTTTTGTACATAGTACGTAAATAACCACTATAATCCTACAATTAATCAGGTTAACTTCAGTTTGTTCTGTTATCTTGCTTTCTCTGCGTAATCAATAAATTTTATATTAATATTTTTTTTTCATAAATTTGTTCTTTTTTTGTGTTTCTTGTAAGTGAGTTGGAATTAAAACTATATTAATTTAATACAAATAGTATTAATTAATTTTCTTATCGTTGTTATACAAATATTTTGTGTTTATTTTTTGGCTAAAATTTTTCATATTTGTATTTGTTAAGGTTATCAGACAATATAGATCATTAAGTTATGCGAAATAGATTAATTCGAATTGAATACAATATCATATTAATATTGATAATTTATTTAGTTCAAAAAATTCCTTAAATTTAATTATATTTTAATGTGAAAATTGGTATATTGAATTAAATTAAATTAGTTAATTATAGAATCGGTTCGGTATGTTTTATGTTTTGACAGTAATTATATGCTGTTTTTATAATCATTTTGAAATTGAGTTATTTATGAATATATTTTGGCTATTGATAATAAGTTCATAGAAAGTAATGTTAATTTACTAATACAAAAAATTTTATAATAAAAGCTTTTTTAGTTTTAATAATTTATTGAAATTAATTCTCATCACATTTCTTACGAATTGTATTCTACAGACGTATTGTTCTAATAGGATGTCGGTTTAATATATAAAGAAATTAATATATTAGTGAGCTACTAAAAATGTATAATAAAGTTAGTAGAAATACATTAAAAATTAATGTTTTAATTTTACATAATAGTCAAAAACAGTAAATTTGTATTCGTAAATAGTAAATTTGAATAATTATTAAACATTTATTCAGTACTTTACTAGGATTTTATGATTTGCGTTAAAATTCCATAAAAATTATGTATTATGAGAAATAAATCAATTTTTCTTATAAATTTAAATAAACATATTTAAAATTCTAATTTTAGTGGCATAAAAAATTTATTTAGTTACAAATTTCAATAAGTTTTTAGTGTTTGGACAAATAGTTCCATACCATTATTTGGAATAGTTGCTTATAAGTAAAATTAACTGGGACGAAATTTTTTATTTTTGTAAATCAATTAGAATGAATTTAAAAACTTTCGACCATATATTAATTGTAATTAAGTACATTGATTTCTACACACACACATTAAAATAACATAAAATTTCTTACAAGGATATGCAAAATTTAAAAATAAAACTGTATATTGATTAATAGTATGTGTGTATTAAATATGATGAAAATAGTCTTCTACTCAATAAAATCAATAATCTACTCTAGTGCCTCTTAATAAGTACTTCTTAAATATACATGATTGAGTTTTGATCTTATGACAAAATCATTCTTTCCTCTTTTTTGAGATATTTTAGAAAAGTTATTCTATGCTTTTATATTTTCTTTTAAATTCAAAGAGGGTTGGGTAGTTTGTTGTAGTTTATTGCTAGTAGTTAATTTGCGAGTTGAAGTTAACTCACACTTCTATAAAGTTTAATCAATTCTAAATGTTCTATTATTTAGAAAATTTGTTGAGGCTAAAAACTTAAGGTTCTTAAATTTATGTTGTTGGCACAATTTTTCTACCTTTTATTCGTTCAGTATTAATTTTGATGAGAAATATTTTATTTGAAAGTTGGTTTTTTTTTCTTCTTTGGAGTGGGTACATTTTAAATGATTTCTGAACATACTGCAAATATTGCTCCCATTACGATAATTTTTTCTACATTTTTATATTTGTATGTGTGCAAAAGACGAAGAAGAAAAATTTCTCAATCGATTAGTTTTCTATTATGGTAGGTCATGGCTAAATAAAATTGTAGAGAAAAAAATTATTTTTGCAGTAATCATAAACATTGTGTTTATATTATGTATGTATGTATGTATATATCTACATTTAAATTGCTAATATAAAATAATATATTTATAGGTATGCACGTTTATATTTTGTACTTTGTGCTAAAGATTTAATTTTATAAAAGTTGGTTTCGATTTCATTTTAATAAATAAATTGTACAAAGTCCAATTGTGTATTTAATACCCTTTCATGTAATTTTTACAAAAAAAAATTTAACAAGAAAAACTTTTACAAAAAAGAAAACAATTTAAATTAGTCGCATGGGTTCAGTAACAATAAAAATTAAAGTTTGTAAAAATTTATTGATTATTTTAAAGCAAAATTTTTGTAAAGTGGTTTGAAATAAATTGGAATCAAATTCAATATAAAATATTTTTGGTAAAATAAAATTTAAAATTCTTAAAATAAAAATTTATGGGGAGCGAATAATCTTCCTGAAGATAAAATATTTCTTAAGAGTTCCTGAAAGTAGTACTCTGGGCAGTTGTAAAAGATTCAAAACTATCCAGCATTTATTATCAATTTGCATGTCTTATTGAGCAAAATCTATTTTTTTATAAAATCTAAATGATTATTATATTAAACAATGGAGCAAAATGCAAATATGAGTATGTAAGTGAAAAAAGTAAAATAATTACTGGCATTTTGTTTTTCTAAAATTTCTAATTGGTTGGCTTGCAAACTTAATCATCTTATGGAACATTTTCATATTAAAAATTGTAGAAAATATGCGATTTATATAGACTTTAACATTTATTAATATTTACGAGTATCTTAAAATTTCATTGGTACAATAATTTTGTGATCAGTGAAATTACTATTTTCGAAAGTGATAATAAAATTTTTGAACTTATTTAAATGCTCTCAGTTTAATTTATTGAATTGAAGAAGGTCGCATATTTATTTTTTTAAAAAACTATTTAGCATAATAAAAAAATTTACAAAAACATTAAATTTCATATTTAATTTTACGATAAAAAATTTAAGTTTTTAATTTAGCTATTTAATAAAATCTTTAATACATTTAAATTGTTTGTTCAGAAACGATTCTTGTAATTTTGTTTTTCATTAAAAAAATGTTCCCGACAAGAGATAATTTAAAAATTTATTAATATTTAAATTATGTAAATAGAAATACAAAATGCAAATTTGATTGCGGTGCTTTATTGCACCAAATATATATACATACTTAGTATGTATATAAGTACCTACATATATCCTGATATATTACAACTATAATTTATATATAAAAATACAATTTATATTTGTAGTCTATATACAACAGAAATCAAATTTATTTTTAAATTTCAATTTATGTTTTCTATATTCTCTTATGAATTATATATACATATACATATATGTACATAGTACATAATATATGCACATATAAATGTATCTATATGAAATATAAACATTGCATATTTTATCCATAAGGTTCTTTTCCCTTTTTTTTATTAAGTTCATGTTAAATAAATTGACTTTTATTGAAAAACTGTCCATTATACTACATTAGGCGAATTGACTTAAAGAATTAAAAGCAATTTATAAAGAAGAATTAATATTCTGCAATGAAAAAGTTCAAAGTTTTGAAGTAGCTATTTTGATTCAAAATAATTTGCTTACTTTAAAAGTAAATGTATACTAAGTGTTCATTCTGATTATATAGTTACATGTATTATGCACATTTACATTGAAATTCGCAATTCTTTTAATATAATTTAAGGTACACTAATAAATTGTATATTGTATTTACTTACATAGTTCTGAAGAAAGATGCAGTTGGAAAATACTAACACATAAAAGTAAATAACTAAAATTTTAACATCATTCTATTTAATTAAATAATTTTTGGATTGGAAAATGCATATGTGTTTATTTTAATAATTATTTTTGTTAGTGATTCATCTGCGTTTTGATGAAAATAAATGCTTTAAACAAAATGATTTACCAATAAATTTTAAATTTAAAGTATTATTTTCATAAGATTTTATAATTCCTTTAAAATTGGATTTGTGAGAATTTACAGAAAATCTATTTTTATTCATAAATTTGTAACTGTGGTATTACCTTTTTAAAAATGATAGTTAATGCTCGAGAATAATATTATGTTACGTTATGCATTACTCTTTACTTACTACTCAAAAAGTTTTACAATTTTATAATTTTTTTCTGTATTTTTTTTATCTTTAAAATTTTTCTTCAGTATTAAAGTTATTCACAATTACTTTTGCTCCAAATTTTAAAATTTATTAATTTAAAAAATAAAAGTTTTTAGTTAGAATTACATTCGGAATTCAGGTGTAATTGAAAATGTCATGATAAAATTTTTTTAATAAAAATTTATATGTTGCTTACCTTCAAAAGAAATTAATAAAAATTTTTTTATTATGATCCAAAAGCAGATTTTCTATAAGGTTGTTTTAAATTTTCAAGGTTTTAAAAACAAAATTAAACGCTTATAAAAATCATAGAAACGCTTTAATGTTGGGGCCCTCGTTTTTCTAACTTTTATTGTTTTGATATCGAATTTGTTGTAACCAGACAAACTAATAAACAAATACAGCGTGAAAATAATGTATGTAGGTCAGTCTGAACTTGAACTTCGGATGATATAAAGCTTTTCTTTTATTTACTTTCATAAAAAAATTTTTTTCTTAACTAGCTTGAGTGTTTATTTTTTGAAAAAAAAATTTATAATTTTTATGCTTGTGTTTATGAATTATGTTGTGGTGATCTTTCGTTTCCCTTATTTCTTATACAAAACACATTAAATTTTAAATATTAAATATACAATTTTTTTTTAGTATAAAAACACACACGACTAAATACAAAAACTATTGATTATTGTTAATTTTTCAATAAAATTATTGTTCCACTTTGAAAATTATTAAAATACAAAAATTTTTAACAAAAATTGAAATTAAATTAAAAAAAAATAAAAGAGTTTTTATATTTTATATGGAATATTTGTAATTCGTAGAAAACAAGTTTTCGGTTCAAGCTCCTCAACTTTAATAATTATGACTAAATAAAAAATAAAAGCTTTACTGTTCGCTTATTAAAAAGATTGTTTACATTATATACAAACACTTACACATTATTTTAGTTAAATATATTATATATTAATAATAAAGCAAAACTATATATACCTAATTCTATTATATGACTGTTATACATATTAAAAACATAACTATGCAAGTATAGTATATTACTATTGAGCAAAGAATCTCTTTCGATCAAAGCTATATACATTAAAAAATAGCTTTATCATTACAGACACTATAATATGTAGAAAATATTATGAAACATAAGCAATATAATATTTGTCATGAATAGTATATAACATGATAATGTGAATATAAATACAAACATACATTCATCAGTACATATAGGGTATTTAGTTTTCTATTGATATTCATATTATGTCATTTAAGAAATTTGTGTAAAGGTTAAAAGTTTCAGTACGATTTTTTGATATAAGTTGAATTTTGAATGTTTCTTTAATTTTGAGATCAAAAATCTCAAAAGACTAATGAAATTGAATTAAAATGGCTATAATTTATAAATGTATGAAAAATTTATATTTTAAGTGAACATAAAAAATACAATTTAGATTCAAATAATATTCTCTTTAACTGTACTAACCCAGTTTTTAAATTTTATATAAATTAGAGATTCAAAATATCAAATTAGAGATTCAAAATATGTAGCGCTTTTAGAAAAATATTAGCATGATTAAATTTCTATATAAAAATTTATAAATATTATGAAATTTAATATAACGTAATACGGTATGTTTTATAAAATTCGACTAACCATAGAACGAAATAAAGTAGACGAAGGTGCTAATTTCATATTACCATAAACTTTTTGCCATGTTTCCTGTTGTGGCGATGATCTGGACGCATAAAATATGTGTTACAAAAATATATCTAAAATCATAATTTTTCAACATGACATTTTTTTGATTAAAATGTTAGTACTTATGTAACCCTATTCATACTAGCCCTAAAAAGGACTGAAATTATTTTAAATATGAATGTAACTATACGAATTTAGTAATATTATTTTTATCATGTTATCTTATCGCTTTCATTCGTTAATTTTAATATAGATGAGAAACTATTCATCAGAATACATGCACATACATGCAAAATATTGCATATTATAAACATTAATCCAACATATTATTACGTCATTGGTTCAATATCATTGAAAGCCTTCATAAACTTTTTGTTAATATATACTTCTACAATATTCATATACATACATAAATTACTTATACATTTTTCCGAGTTACCATATGATTGATAAATTTAACAGCTGATTGTTATTAAAGTTTAAAATTTATAAAAGCTCCGCTAATTTTAAAAAATAATTTTTTTTTTTTTTGTATTTTGTAACTTTCGAAAGGGAGATGACGTAAAATTAATGCATCTGTGCAGTTTATGTGCAGGTAATGAATGAATCACAATTGTTATAAATGTAACCAACAATAATAAATGATTTCATAATTCTAAAAAAAAACGTGCAACACGCTTTCAGTATAAAGAAAATAAGTTTGTATGTATGTACATATGTATGTAAGTACATGAAAATTTATAAAATGTATAAAACCGCATAAAAATTTTCAATAATTTTTTTTTTGGTTTTAATTAATTTTTTTCTTGGCATTGCTTTTATTATAATTTTTATGTTATTAATCAAATAATATTAAAAAAATATTAATAAAGGATATTAATTAATAATGCATGTAGGTGAGAAACATTTTGTTTTATGAAGGCATTCCATATTTGTGTAAAAGTGAAAAAAAGAAATGTTAATTTATAAAAACAGTTATTGAATAGTTATATAAAAAGTAAAGAATGCATTAATTGTACTTTGGAAATGGGAGATGGGGTTGATGAAACAAGAGGATGAAAAAAAATTAATATGGAAAACAAAATGGACTTGTATAACTACATAGTCACTTGTGTTCGTGTGGATTTTGAATAGGGGCAAATATTCTAAGAGTATTTTGTATTTTTGAAGTTTCAATGAAATTCAAATTAAATAGATTTTATATTGCAGTTTATTTGACAAGCTTCGTAAATTATAAAAATTTTGTTAGTTAGAGGCATATAGCTAAATCAGCTCATTGTATACAGCTAACTAATAGCTGTATTTGTCGGCATTTATATGGCTATATCGCAAGTATATGCGCTCTTATATAGTATTAGAAATGGAACAGTAAATTAATAATACGATAAAACAATTGTTCGAAAAGAAAATACAAGCTTACATAATATATTATAAAAAGTAATATTTACTCGTATGTCTTGAATCGATCAATTGAATGAAAGAATTATTAGCTGAACTATTTCTAAAGTAAACATTTTTTTTTTTGATTAATTAACATTTGTGGAGTTGGTCTTACAATTACGTATAAGTGTCGTTTAATTTTTCTAAAAAAACCAATACTTTATACACATAGACAAATTTTTTTTTAATGTCTTAAATTTTTAACATCAATTTTATGCTACTTAATATTTCATCCAGCAAAAATTTTGTTATTATAGCAAAAATTTATATAGGATTGTGTTAAAAATTAAAGCACGTTTTTACGAAAAATTGTTCTGTTAAAAAAAATTTAATATTGTTTTTAAATTTTTCTTTACAATTTTGTGTTTTAACAAATAAAATTTTTTTTTTATTATCAATTTTATTATTAATTTATATAATATTATTATAATATTATATAATTTTTATGGATATTTTCGACGAAAACATAATAAGTAATTCTTTCTTCGTTTAGAATATTTAAAAAATTTAGAAAAAAATTCAAAAATGTCACAAAGCTATCAAATATTTAATTTGTATTCAATAACGGGCTATAGAATTCCACAATCATTAAACTGCATGTTTAACTTTCTTAAGATGTTGGGGGAAATATTTCGGTTCACGTATAAGAAGACGCATGTGTATTAGGATCTTATTCTGTATTTTAGTGTTCGGCTAGTGTAATTTTAAACTGAGGGAATTAGTTTTATTTTTTTACGTAATCTTGCTATTTTTAAAAATAAGATTTTATTTTATTTTTAAAAATAGTAAATGTGGTCGATATTTTGACATTTTTATATAATACGGATAATGAGAATTCTAAGTGAAAAAAAGAGAATTGAAGTTCTCATTTTTGAAAAGTGGCGTAAATAGTGACTGGAAAAGTGAAATATGTACAACCCTTAAATAATCAAAAAAATTCATATAAAATTCTTCTTACAAAAATTTTAATAGCTGAAAAAAGTAATAAAAAATTCTGCAATTGTTATACAATTCAAAACATTTGTTATACACTACTTATAACAATTCCTGGACATATAATATTCCATAAAATTTTAAATTTCTTATTATAAGATAAGTCAACGATACTTTATGATTACGTATATACATAATTATGTAATTGGTTTTATATATACATAATATTCACACTTTTCCGAAAATTGATCTCTTAATAAATAAAATTATATTTATTTTAAAAGAAAAACTCCTATATTACTTTAATTAGTAATCATTAGAAATATGAATCATGTGAGGATTTATATATAAACTATTTTCTAGTAATTATACACATTCAAGATACATATGTGTACCTATATTATACATTGCGTACATGTATATTTATCCGTTTATACCAACGTATTACCAATACCATATTTTTAACGTTTCTTTCATAATACCTACGCACTTCTAGTTTAATTTTTTTTTTGTTAATTAAACGTCGATCGAGTTGATAAAGATTTTAAAGCTGTTTAATTGAAGTTTGTTTTTTTTTTGTTATATTAAAAGCTTTAAATTCATACGTACCCGAATACATAGAAATAAGAATAAAATTTACGGTGAAATAAAATCAATTAGCATTTTAATGTTGTTTGTGTTTTAGAATATAAAAGTCGCGTGCTCTTTAATAAAATGACATGACATACTTGATTAGCCACTTAGAAACACTAACTTTCTCATTTAACTTGTAACGAGGTTATTTATATAAAATTCTAATTTAAATACTTATTATTTCTTAAAATTATAAATAGGTGTGTACGTATATCACATTATGTATACGTATACTATTCAAAACAAGAATTTTAATTTTTACTAGATTAATGTTAATACCGAAAATTCAATTAGAATTTTTCGATTTGATATGAAAGAATATGAAATGAAAATATTGACCCTCAAATAATAAAATAAAAACAAACAGAAAAACCAATATTTTTTACGGTTCTTAATAGTTGATAGGTTGTTACGTAACTTTTTAAATTTTTTTTCATATATTACATTTAGTTTGTACGTAGAATTGTGTGCATTCGATTTTGAAAATAACATAAATTTTAACAGTAATTGTCAACCTTTTGAAAATTGTTTTCTTATTACAATAAATAATAAGGTTTTGATTTGTTTGTTCGATTGAAGAGAACTCAATGGAGATTTTAATATGAAGAGTCGTTATTGTTGAAATTGTTGGTTTGAAGTTGCAGAATTTGTTGCTGAGATTTCTTTGTCTAAATTTAATACAGTTTTCAGTTTTGTGTTCACAGGGAATTGAATGGGATTAAATGCTTAGGATTCTATCGAACTATCACTCGGCGCGGTGTTTTACTTAGTATTTTGACCTTTTTCCCTCTGATTTTCTTATTGCTATGTTTTATTCCAATGCATTCTAAATAAAACAAAAAAAATTAAATTTTTTCATATTATTAATGGTTATTCAAGTTTTATATTAAATTCGTATCAGTACAGGGTCAAACTAAGAGAATTAAAATTAATATTACAAAAAATACTAAACAACATCCTCCATTTTACTTTATTTTCGAAATGAATAATTACTGACAATTAAACTAAGATAGTTTATTTTTATAATTAGTTAATTATTTAAACTTTATTTAATCATATAAACTTTTAATTTATATTAAATTATATTTAAAGTAAATCTTTCTAAATTAACATGATATTTTTGACTAACCATATACATTCATATACCCATATGTTCACTACTCCTGCATTAATATGATACCATTTTTAATATTATGGTGTGATTTTAAACTACATTATTCGAATATTTTTACTTAGTACATTAAGTTTTTAATTGCCAGCTGATAATAATATAGTTAAAGTGTAGGAAAACAAATATTTTGTAATCGCTGGGGGCCAAAAATACTCGTTTCAAATAAGTAATAATATTATAAATAAAAAGAAAATATGAACATATTTGTACAGTTTCTAATTACTGATGGTTTTGACAAAATAACAATTATGTTATATGAGCAAAATAATTATACAAACATAAAAAATTATATTACTTGGTGTAGATAATAACGAAATTGACGTCTTAAAGAGAATTGTTTACGTATGGTATTTTTTAATATTATTTGTTAATTTTTAAAAGATTGCTATCATAAAATTTCGGATTAATTGGGATATCCGTTATATGTAGACAAGTTTATGTGAATAATAACAGAAAAGCAGTGAATTTTAATCGATAATCTGTATAGTACATTTATGAATTAAAAATGTATAATTTTGCAGATACTTTAGAATTTTTGAAGTACGCTAACTCTAATTATGTATGTATAAGTACGAAAACGATAATTTCAAATTTTAACAGAATCTGAATTATGGAGATCTGTGAAGAATATTTTCAATTAATTTAAGAGTTACAGTTTTGAATGTAACAGTATAATTTTGTCTTTACACCAGCCTCGTATAAGCATAAAATAATAAAGGTAGGGTACCTAGAGAATAAAGTTTAAATAAATTTTTACAAAATTATTTTGTAAAAATTTATTTAAAGTTTTATTCTCTAAGTACTCTACCTATAAAAATTTATTTAAAGCTTTATTCTCTAAGCTTGTGTTTGGAATTCTAATAAGTAATTAAAATTTTCGCTTAAAAATTTAATTTTGTTAAAATAACGATTTTCAAAATAAATTTTAATAATACAATTAAATATCTTCTCTCAACTACTCTTCTCTTTCTCGGGTCTTATCAAAAATTACACTTTACAATAAATCAATGTAACTAAAATGGCCATAGATTATTTTTTTGAAAACAAATCTTTAAAAAATATTTCCGTTTTGCATAAATTTAGGCGAAGTATTCAAATTTGAGAGATTTAAAGCTTAAAAATTAAAATTTTCTACAAACCTTCCTTGCAGTCTCATGTACTCTTATAATTTTTCCAAATATAATCTTTCAAAAATTTAATTTCACATGTTTTTGAAAAAAAATCTAGGCTTTAATAATTTTAAAGTCTTTTCACTTTATATAATTGTGAATTGTAAAATATAAATAAAAATAATGTTCAATTATTTTTTTCCTTTCATATAATTAAGCCATTTCTGGTGATGTGTCATTTAAATTATCGTTGCTTTTTTTAATCATCATAAATTTTTAGTATTGCATTTAATGTATTTAATGATTTTTAAGTATAATTATAATATTAATGTGAATAAATGAAGAAATTTTTTAAATTTTCCGGTTCAACGAAAAATTGAACGCTTATAAGCAAAAAAATATTTAAAAAAATAATTAAATGCATGGAAACATTCAAAAATAAAAATAAAATGAAAAATTTCAATTGCATATATTAAAATAAGGTCATTCAAACAATAATAAGACGTTATGTAGAAAGACCAAGAGAAATAATGCCCAAATTGGTTTTTAAAGTAAAAGTTATTGAATAATTAATTTTGTTTTGTACTTTAAATTACATTATCCGAGTTTAATCGGGTTATTTTGGAATTATTACACTTGTAAATTTCATGATTTTTATAATTTCGAATAAAACCTTGTTTCAGGAAGTTGTTCACAAGGAGAAAGATTTGCCATGTTTTTTATTCATGTATTTAATTACACAACACCACAATTTAATAATTAATTTTTCTTTTTAATTGTCATTAATAATAATTGACACAATTAATTGCTTCGATTGGAAATATGAAAACAAAATGGGGGAAGAAATGATTTATTATTTTATCTTTTATAAAAATGGAAGCAAGATGTTCAAAATATTTAACATGCAACTTTTTAAAACATAATACAATGTTACAATCAGTTATTCATTATAAATTAATTAAGCAACAATAATCATATCTTATGCATGAATTAAGGGTTAAAAAAATTAAATGAATTAAGGGTTAATGCTAGATTAATAAGAAATATATAGTATAATTATAATGACTTTCTAATCTTATAAGTATAAGCGTACGAACTTGACACATATAGTTTGTTTCAAACCGGCTCTATATATGATATCGGGTTATATTTGAAATGATTCGATAACGAATTTCCGAGTTGAACATAAAATATGTTTACTTATTTATATAAGTGAATATATTTGAAAAACGATTGGAAAGAATGGGTTAAATGCAATTGCTTTTAAATAAACGTATTTTCGGTTTTACGTTCTATTGAATGCATTCATTAATATTGCATATGCACATTTTTACTTATATGCTAAAGACTTGAATTGCATCTTGAATATTAATTCTTAATACTATTCTTTCTCCAATACTATTGGAGAACACGCATTAAAAAGGCATTCACTTTTACGAATTTAAAATATTTATTTTTACTTTTGGCTCAAGAAAGTTCGAACTACAATTTTATTAAATTTATGTAAAGTAAAATCAACAATTTTCTTTTTTTTTTTTTACTTATAATTTGATTTCTCCAAAAACATATTCAAAGAATAAATAATTTTTTTTTCTTTATTTTTCAGAAAATTCTCAATTTATTTGGAATTCATTTATTCGAATCAAATTACCATCAAATAGAATAATAGAAATTAAAACTTTTGTTAGCAATCAAGAAGAATGGCTGCTTCGTTACTATTGGCATGTGGATTGAATGAACAAAAATTGCCATCGGCAATTCATTTAAGTGAAGAATCAGATATTGATGGAAGTTTTTTAATAAGTTCAATTTTGGGACAACGTTTAAGAATTCAAAATTCTGGTGTTATATTAATATGTTTACAACAAAATTATCAACATTATATGAATGCCGGGATTAGGTTGGGCTATAATTTAAATATGTTCAATGGAAAAAATTTATATGTTCATGAACCCATTTTGGATATTATTAAATCAAATTTTTGTGAAAATTCAACAGCACCTTCATCAGAAATAAATGATTCAATATTTAGTGATGAAATTTTCAAATTTATTGAGAAAATTATTAAAGAAAAATTTATTGAAAAAACTTCAATTACAATTATCCTTGATAACTTGAGCATATTAATGAATATGGGAGAATCATATCGTTCAATTTTGAAATTTTATGAAAATTTAAAAGAGTTTATTGAGAATATTATGAATGAATCAACCAAATCAATTACATTATTAACTAAATTAAATAATTGCGATTTATTTAATGTTCTTGATAATAATTTGATTAGAATGAGTGATTTACATATAAGAGTGGTTAAATTAAAAAGTGGAGCATTTAAAGAAGTTGATGGAAAATTAATAATTACAAAAGATGAAATAATTGAATTTTGTCAAATTAATAAAAATGAAAAAAATATATTGTATAAAGTTAATGATAAAAATATTAAAATTTTTAATCCTGGTGAAGTTGGTATAAAAATTTAAGATTGTGCACTTATGTTAAATGTGAAACAATAAATAACTTAACAAAATTATATTAAATTCCTTGTTTTGATTTTCGTTACCTTTTCACATGCTTCTATGTTCTATTTACAAGGCTGTGGAATAGATTTGTCAATAATTAGTGATTAATTATAAGGCTGAGGGATCTGAGATATTTCTTGTTCAATGGCAGGTTCCGAATCGATTCATTATATGTGTTTCCATCGATTCGTATATGGCAAAAACTAATTCATTAAAGTTCATCAAATCTTCATTAAAAATTTATAAAAATGAACGGAAGAACTTTATTTAAATAAGATGCGATCAAGACAGCAATGCAAGTATTTTAGAAAATATTAGAGCTATGGAACTCAAATTTTTATATAACCTATTTAAATTACAACAGTTTTTGAGGTTATGTGTATGTCCATATATAACGCAGTTTACACAGTCAATTCTATTAATTCTCTTTCTTATTTAAAATTAATATTTTTTTACATATTTTTATTGTATGAAAAAATCGATTTGTTTTTATAAAATTTTTATATCACTAAAACATAATTTTATACTATAATTCGATTAAAAACATAATTTTAAGATAAGGAAACCTTTTGTGAAAATTTAATTTCATTTAACAAAAATGTTATCCTTAATCAGAAAATATTGAAATTATCATGTTTACAGTTGTTACTACAAACCTGAGGTCTATTATATTAATATAGAAAACATGAACAAATAACCTTTATATGTTGTATAAATATGTTTAACATCTATTAACGCCTAAAAAATAAAATCCTACAGGGAATACTAATAAAAATAGATGTCCTTGTAATTTAAAGAAATTTCACTTCTAATTTCCTTATTTTATATTCAAAAATTTTAATAAAACAAGGAACTTAAATTCTTATTAAAGAAAATTTTTGACTTTAATTTAATTCTTATAAAAGAGAAGACATAAAGTAATGAGACAAAGGACTGAATCAAAATGAAAAAAAAAAAAAAATAATAATAAAATTGTGTGATGGTCCTTTTTATTTTGTTAAGTAGAAAGCAGTCAACGATTATTGAGTGTCTAAAGAAAATTTCCTCTCTACCATTATTTTACTGTTTTCTTTATTCATTATATTTTGTTATTCAAACATTTTATAAAGAAAATTTTACTATTATAATATTTTATTTTATTGTGAAAATTTGTTAATGTTTTCTTCAATTTATTTTTAAGTCTTTGTATATAAGCAAATTAAATTTTTACCAAATATTTTTTTGTGGTTTTCTAATTATACAAATGTTTTGGTTTCAAATATGTATACTTTTAGACCACAATTCATTTTTACTTTTAAACATACATAAATATAATATATGCACATATACATACATACAGATATATTGTATCAATTACTAATTAGCACACTTTTGGTTTAATATTAAAATAAGAAATTATGGTTTGGACTGCGTCAAAATAAGGATAAAATTTCAATTATGATATTCCTAGGAATTAGAAACTAAGAGAATTTTTTGAATAATTTTAAATCATCTTTAAAATTTAATAAAAAAAATCATTGTAATGTATTTAAAGTATAGTTGTATGGGTTATGAATTAAGTGTTATTTTGTTTAATATTTGAAAACATCCTCATGATAAATGCTAATATTAAGTTGTTTCGGTTTATATTAGTTGATTTCGTCAATATTATTATTTAATATAGATTAGATCAAAATTTTCGTACGAGTAATAAATTCAAAGTTAAAATTGTAAAATCTTTGAGAAAAGTATATTTATTCTAATTAGAGAAAAATTAATTGTAATTAATTGTGAAATCTAATTGTTATCTACGGTAGATTGACAAGTAGATTTCCGATAAGAAATAAGTTCTTTCAAATACATATATTTTAAACTATTTTTAACGTATTTATTTTTACTTATTATTTTTACTAGACAATAACTGTAAATTCATGCAGAAAACGATGCATTTATAACTTAACAACTTTGTCCTTTTACTTATTCCAAACCCAATTTTGTAAACTTTTGCTAATAAAATAAAATTATTATAAGAAGTATTTAAAATTATCATTTCTGTTATTATCCTTGTTATATATTTCAAAAAGTTTTTTCTTGCAGAAAAGCTTTCCATTTTGGATAGTAACCATGAAGTATACAGTTACACTTTTTATTTTCCACATTCCGCAAACAAAACTTAAGAAAGTTCTTAAAAATTAAGTATACCTGGAGAAGTTCTAATAGGTGTACACCTGGAGAAATTTATATGAAGTAAAGTATATTTTAAATTTTCCTTTTCATTAAAAGCTTTATTTTACACACACATACATATACACTTATATTTCTTAGCTTTTCATTCATATTTACATTTTAGAGTGATTTTCGTTTTTGATAAATTCATTTTTGCTTTTATATTTGTGTATAAAAACACGGAAAATTTGAAAAATGATGAATGAATTTCAAAAATTACTATTTATATTAAAGGAAATTATTTACACTGTACATTTGGTTTTGTACTCTTTCTGTATATGTATTTAATGTAAAAGTATATGAAGATAAAAGAAAATTAAAAGGAAAACAAAAAAAAAATAAATATTTCTCGTTTATTTCACAGTATTCATGAATTTGACTTTGTAAATGAAATAAAAATGATAAAAGAGAAAGGAAAAACTTTTATTGTTCTCTTCAAATGTAATTATGATTTTGATTGATAAAAGTCGGTTGCAGGCCAATGTCATTACATACATAGTCATAAATGAAAAAGAATTCATGTAATTTTATTCTAACTTTAAAAAGTTTATATGTGAACAAGAAAATTTAAGATTTGAGAGAAATTTAAAAAAAATTAATTGAGAAAATTTGTATGAAAAATAAAATTAAAAAATTGCATTTATTAAAGTGTTGCTAAAATAAGAGGAGTTGGAACAAATTTATTCATATATAGTTAAATTACAAAACACAATTGAATTTTTCTTTTACGACGAGCATTCTATACGAGTTCTACGAGAAGAGAAAGCCCTTGTTCGGCAAATAATTTAGCACTATTCTTTCATTTTGATTTTGTTTACATCACATGTTTTTTAACTATTTCGGATAAAATTTTTAGATTTTTAAAGACTAACTGTATTTCTGGGATTCAACTTTATTGGATACAGAGTAAGATTGATTTATTTTACTTCCAATTTTTTTTTTTCACAAAACATATTAATGCTATTATAATTTTTACAAATAAATAGAACAATTTTCTTCATTAAAGATTAAGCTGCAAAATTATTAAAATTCAAATAGGTTTTACTTTCATGAATTTACTCAAATTCATTATCATTAAATTTATAATTTAAATGCAATATGGAATACTAACATGGTTATACTTATGCATCATATAGATTAATAATCAGATATCATTGATTTTAGAAAATTAAAAATACTAAATAAAATATAGCGTTTATTTGAGACACTTAAGTTTTACTTGGTTATTTTATAGTTTTAATTTTTACGAATGTTAAGATTCATTGAAAATTGTCCCTGATGAAATTGTTTCAAAATATTCAGCAAAGTTAAAGAGAGCATATGACAAATGAAAGTTGCCAAATTGTTTTCTTGTCACATGAATATGGTGTCAAAGTTTCAATAAAATTTAATTAAATATTAACTAGGGTCAAAAATTTTGCATTTTATGGTAAAATTTTTTGGCGTTCTGTGAAAGAGACTCTTCTTTTTTTAGACTTTGAAAAATTATAAGATAAACCCTTTCGTTTATACAAAATTCTTCATTTTTCTATGAAAACTTTATGGATTTCTCAGACCGTTTTATATAAAAAAAAAAAAAAAACTGAAAATTCAAACAACTCAACACGCTATCTATTCATTAGCTTTTTATTGATTTATTATACCAAAATTCTATATTTATGCAAATGTTTTCATTAAAAGAGACAAAATTAATTTGTGTCGATTAGTTTTAATAGTTTTATCAATTTGTGTGGTTTTATCGTGCAAAGGATTTTAAATAAAAGGATAAAGCAAATGTTGAATGAAAGTTTTTTTTTATGAACATTAAAAACTTTCAGGTTAGCATTATTTATTTGAAAAAAAAAATGATGATTATTTTAATGTCTACATTTTAATAAAATTTTGTTTCATTATTTTCATTTCGTGAGCATAAAATTATTCCATAAAAATTTTTTATAATCTTATTCAATATTACGCTTTAGTGTGTCATGCTTATAGTATTTCCAATAAAAATTTAAATTTTCAGTGAATATTCCACGCTATATATACCTAAAATTTTTAATACTTAATTTTGTATACAAATTTTAATTTTAATCTTAAATTAAGTTTTTTAATATTTTCGTATGATTCGTATGATTTTTTTTCTTCATATAAATATTCATTTCCTTAAGGGTTTGTAGAAATACATGTATACATATGTTAAGTTTAAACTCGCTGTTGTATTGATATGTTAAGAATTCACTAAAATGGATGAATTGCTTCACTGATTCTGATTAAAATGAAATTAAAATTTTGGTATTTTAAATTTGAAGAATGGTGAATTTACAATAATTTTTGAATTATTATTAAATACACATATATTTAGAATTTATTATATTTTTGAATCCTTTTTTGAAAATTTCCTAAAAATTGTTTGTATATAGCTACATATGTATATAAAATATTGGTTACCTGATATTATTATTCTTATAAATTAAAATTTTGTAATTTTAGTTTCTTACTACGAATAATATTGAAAAATTTTATTCAAAGGTAACACTTTTAAATTACTAATTTCATGTTGGAATAGATTTTTTGAATGTAAATTCTTTAATAATTTTAACGTACACAAAATAATTTTATTTTTCAACTAAGAGCATTATCTGCAAAATTTTCTCTCAAATTAATACTATTAAATTTATTTTCAAATTTTACTACAAAAAGAAATTTATTTGTACTATTCTAGAAATATGAAAAGAATATTAAAATGCAGTCTGTTATTTGGAGATGAATACATGCAATATATTATTATGTATGTATGTATAATATCTCTACA